CCCAAAATAAATAGCTCTGTAGGTTTTCGATATTGCATGCTGACCACATTGGTTTTAATGTTCTTACCTTGCTGAAAGCGCTCGGTCGTGCATCCGCACCAGATCACGAGTGCGAACGCCGTGCACAACAACCCCTGCAATTGCCAGCCAGATTAGATCAGACGATCCTCAATATATTGATAGCCTATCAAATATATCTTCGAACATCCTCGCTTCTGTCTTTTGATTTCACTTCATGGGTACGATTCGTATTAGGTGTTACTGGTTAAAGCGTTGTCAAACTCCGAATACCTGTGGCATCTTCAAAGCAGGCAGTCAAAAAATGGTAATCCTGACTAATTTGACTCGAGATGATCAGTTGTACATATATAGAAATGTCTTATCATTATAAACTGAAGCTATTATCATGCTATATGAAATGCTTCTGTATATTCAAAGATCGTTTATTCATTTAATCCCTTCTAATCTCAACTAAATTCTCATCCACAGTTGTAGGAATTCAATCACGTAGGCGATATTTCGTAGAACAAGTTTTACTAGTACTACCAAAGTATATTTCAAACAGCTGAGCAGTTGTTTCGGTGAAAAAGGACGAATTTTGTGGCGAATTAGTATCCTTCATTGAAAAACGAAAGTTTTGAGTGACAAACGACAGGGTTAGTCGCACAGGTGGGTCCGTAGTGAACAAGAACACAAGTTGTTCCAGTCAAATGCATTTGAATACAAAGTTATAGAATATCTTGGTAAAACTTGAGAACCATACAGTAAATAACTCATTTGCAAACTGTCAATCAATCGTCTCAAAATTCATTGTTCTCTCGTTTCCACACAAATCATTCTCCGTTCTTGTTCTCTTCTCTGATCATAAACTTCTGCTGCCAGGCAATTCACTTACAATTCATGATACAGATTCTGATTGAGATTTGTGTAGTAAGGACAGAAGGCCTACGGCCTATGATATTCCTTTTCTAGTATGCTTCTCTAAGTGTCCAGTCTTCTCTTGAATGAGTCAATTGAAGGTGCGGAAACCATTGCTTTGGGTAACGTGTTCCAAGTATGTTGTGTATATTATAGTGAACATGGTAGTATTTAAATTAGTGAGTGTCCGCTGTTAAGTCGGGAGGGTTCTAAACCCCATAGCTGCGACTTCTCGGGAATCGGCCGTGGACTCATGATTATGGCTCACTGTCACCCCAAGATCCCTATGAGACCGGACCACGGGTACTGGTGCTTCCTCTATTGTGTACTTAATAATTTTTATATCCCCCAAGTGCATGTAGGCTCTCACACCGGCTCCATATAAACGGTGCTGTAAGCCATTATCACGTTGGTCGTGTAAAGAACGTTCTATCAAATCTCTGCTGATTCTAGAGGTGATCAAGATGCTAAACACAGCTAGGAAATCGCCGTCTGATAAACAGGCAGCAGCAGATGAACAGAACTCTGCTTTCGAGGAAATTGAGAGCATTATTCTGAGTCCAGCTCTAGACTTAAATAAGACCATAAAGATGGACCTCATCAGGGAAGTATATAAGCATATGGGTGAAGGCATTGTTACAAGGAGAAAAAAGAAGCGCGCTGAGTAGAAGAAACTACCTATTGACAGTGCTGAGGCATGTGAACCTGTGGGTTCAGTTCCGGATCCACAAATCAATGTAACATATGTTTTGGGGGAGCTACGGATGAGCAGTGTAGAAGTGATCAAGAGACAAAGCAAGATAAATGAGAGGCTCTCAGTCACACCTCAGAAAAAAAGTAAGAAAACAGAACGTAACCTCTGCGTTTGACGTTGAGTTGAAGTCGGATTGCAAGGAAGAGACGGTTTCAGGAATTAATGTTTCACAGCGTGTCAAGACAGACCTCACTGAGAGGTCAGTCATTGTTCACCAGCCAAGAGAATCTTCCGGTAAGGAGCCAAAGGCTAGATTTCAGCATGACCTCAGTCTTATCAAGTACTTATTGAGCCAGCTACTCGCAGAAACAGTTTCAGGAGTTAGCGTCTGTAAGCTTTATAGAATAAGACAAAAGGGGGATTCTGAAAGTATTCGGAAACGCCACATCATGAAGATCACCTTTGCTATGGTTGAAAAAGGCGACCTAATACTCTGTAACTCACGTAAACTGATTGGATACGGAGTATACGTCCGTGAGGATCACAACATAGCTGGTCGTATTAAGAGACGAGCTGCACAAGTTGAAATAAACGAGTGCCACCGAAACGGTAAAAGAAACCTCGTTCTTAAGGGTCTTCAGATTGTGAAATTTCAAAGCAAAACGATTCCAACACCACTCTGGGTGATAACGGAAAGTCCTCCACAAAACTAAAGGTATGCTACACAAACACTAGCAGCCTACTAAATAAAATGGCGGAATTCAAGACAATGATGGATAAAGAGAAACTGGATTATAATGCTATCTCAGAAACATGGTTAACGTCAGAAGTATTAGATAATGACACACAGTTGACAGGTATTTCATCCAGTAGGGCTGATAGATTGAACCGTATGGGAGGTAGGGTTATTCTGTACACCAAAAGGACCCCAACAATAACAGCAGTTGAGACAGTGGTACGCGTTTCAGGGACATGTGAACTGTTGCGTTGCAAGCTGAAATGTGGACGGTAAGATATTGAATTAGTTGTAGTATATCGCAGTCCGAAATTTGTAGTACATGATTCCCTCCTAAGCAAAATTATGTCCTGGTGTAATAGGGGTAAAAGCTTTATAGTAGGCGACTTTAATGCACCGTATATAAATTGAGTCAACTTAGAAGTACGGTAATCGATTATGTCACTCGACTGCAAACTGTTTGAAACCTCGATTGTCTTAGGTTAACTGCAACAAGTTAGAAATCTCACAATATATGAATTCGAAACCCCTCTTCTCTTTTGTATTTAGTCTTCACATAAGGTGATGACGTCGGTCAAATGACTTTCCTCCCACCACTAGGGAGAAGTGACAATGCAGTCACATCACTCAAATTCATGGCTGAGATTGCCTGTCAAACAAATGTGCTGACCTGTCCTAACATATGGAAGGCAGATATGGAGGCAATGGACTCCGTAGCATTGGTTGAAAACTGGAAATTGACTCAAGGGCATCAGCGTAAGTCATGGACTCATTTCAGGCAGTTATACAGTCGGGTAACTCAACCTTACGTATTCTGGACAGTTCCAAATTAGAAGATGGCCATTCCTGGATATACCGGGATGCTCAACGTTTACGAGGACAAAAGAAATGTTGGAATGTCGCTATCAGCCTTGGCATGGAAGGAAAATAATATATTAAGCAAGATTTAGGAGATCAAGATTTGAGTGAGAGAGCGATATGCGTAGACTGCACCAAGCGTTCAAATAAACACATTGACATGGTTATGATAGCGCTTCTTCCAACTCAGGGAAATAAACGAATTGTTACTCTGTCGATAACATTTTCTGTCAGATGAAAGGGATTAACCGTTCTTCAAAATAATCATGAGAGTGTTACTACAGATTTTATTGAATGATATATGTAAATTGGTGATAAACCTAAACTTGAGGTATCTGTGGTTCTTTGTGCGTCTGGAAGTCTGAAAGAGAAAAGCTTTCTGTAATAATAACTTTAAGAATGACTGTGACATGCTGAGTATTGTAGTAGTGATAAGCTGGGTCGATTACATATGATTAACACGAAATTAGATTTATGTTCCGAAGATAAGGTGTATACAGGCAGAAATAGGAGACCTCAGTCATCATAATGGGCGACCTATGCTCCTTCACGACGAATAACATACGTAAATAATTAGGCACAGTAATTGCTCTGAAATCAATCAAAGTACATCTTATAATATAGGATCTTTTGAAATTATTTTTTACCAGAAAAAGTATCAGATTCACACATGCTGAATTCTAATTCCAAGTTTGCGAACACTGATTACAAGTTGTTCAGTACTAGAATATTGCCTGTATATTGGAAATCCAATTCATTACAGCTGCTTTTCGAACATCATCACTGATGGTAAGAAGTGGTAGGATTGAGAAGTCGAGATGGAGTCTTTCGTGGATGATCATTCTCATGATGTCCAGAAAAAGCCAACTGAATACAATTATGCTATGTGTTTCGTTACGATTTATCGGTTTCAAAGTGTACTTCATAATTGTCACTATGTATTTAAGCTACACATTCATAACTGCTGTTCATACATCGATAATTTTCATGTCAATCATACGTAATAAATATACAAGTGAGAATATACAATATTCATTTGAACACAATAAGATATCTAAACTAAAATGACCGCTTCAATTCACGCTTCATTCTCACTCATTCATCAGACAACAACATCAATGGACTGAGTAGTGAATAATAAATCTATAGTGTAAAACAATTCATATAAAGTATCCAATCCACATTGTTTTCTACATTTTCACTGCAACAATTTCTGAAATCTTATCATCAAAAAATATGTAAATCACTGATGTACCAAAAATGAGTTGAGATTGTGGAGTATCGCCAAACTGATTATTCACACAATAGGTTCAACTTACAAAATGTTTACAGGCGTAATGTTTTCATGTAATGGCACAAAAATATCAATCTGTATAATCTCATTTCAGTACTGTGGTTTCAAAATTGTCACTGGTGTACACACCTGTGTTATTTTTATACCATTTGAATAGCTAGTCGATCTTTATAGGCTATGACGTAATTCCATAGATCTGGTCTTTACTATTACCTATCAACATATATGTGTTATTTTAAAAATACGAATATGAAGAACAGAACAAAGTTTTATTAGCTACTGATCAGTAACCATGTGAACATAAAAGTCATATTATAGAAAAAAAATTAAAAAATCATCAAAACATTTTTTTAGAAAACTTCAAAAAATACATGATCACAGAAATTTAAGTGAAATGAATTCTCTCATTAAAATTATTACTAGTCATATATGAATAACAAAATCAATAGTAGGCAATATGATCATACTTATAAGCTGATAATGATCAACTTTTCTTATTATTAGTCATTCAATGGTGATGTAATATGTCCAAGAAATATTGGTAGACAATTATTCCAAACAATTGAAATAAAGAATGGATGATCAACACGAAATTCTGGTACAGGTTTGTGAGGTTTCACAGCTGCGCATTTTACCGTTAGTATTGCTGTAGCTGCAGCCGCCACTGCACCTTTTTCATCCACCTATATATGTATTGGGAATAAAATAATAAATAAGCAGAGACAAACAATGAAAGATACTATTTGTATACTGTCTCGAATAATTCAAAATACACAAAATAATATCACTTAGTTTTTCTATTTATTTATTTAAATACACAAACATTGGTAAAAGGAGGCACCAAATAGATATGAGCAACATAAATCATTTAATTTCTGTCAGGGTTGGGATACTGCTCAGGTGCCTATATCGAAACAAGTAGTTTTCTTACGGGGCCACATCAGGAGCTAGGTGATGACCAACAATACGTTCATACGGCATTTGTTTCCTTAGGTTCTTGGAGTCCATGTGCACCATTGGTTTGGAATCAGGGTTTTCCAACTCCCCTAGATGGACTCACCGTGTTCAACAATTCAGTAAACAACACCCCCGCCGTCAAAAGGTAGTGATGTGATGTAAAAACTACTCTAATATTCTTTTTATAACAAAATTACTGTAATCTTAGTCACCTTGTATTCTATTTCCATATTTTAATCCCGTTGTTTGGATATAATTGTATCTCACGAGAGTTGTGATCGCGTTAGTCATTTATTTATTTACCTATTTTGAGTTCGGTTCGTCAAATGAGGAATAAATATGGTAATTTCCAACTCGATCATTTACTCTCTCCGCTTTCCAACCTATCAGATTATAGCTTAGTGATGGGATAGATTTCTTCCTTCAACACTGTCCAGTCATGAACCAGACCTATGTATTACAAATCTCAGGGTAGTACTAAATACTCTAAAATAGGTCGGGACAACCCTCTTCCCACATATCATGCAGACTAAAGGATAGGTAGATAAGAGAAATAGTGCCGTATATGTGACCTCTATACTCGACGCCCAATTTCTGTCAAACTGTTCGTTCTAATCTTGACTAATATTCGTATATCAGAATTATTGCTTATTTGGTACGTCTTTAACGAAAGTTCAAAAACAAAATACTCGACCTTGTTTTAATGATAGCCACATCAACACAAATTCTGTTGGCAACTGAATATACTCGATGGTAAACCTATGGTATTCTGAAAGTACATCAAATTGAGATGAGTGTTATTGTGTCAATCCATTAATTAGAGAGAATTTTCCATCAAGAAAATCAATGACAACATTTTATAACAGGGATTCAGATAGGAAAGACTTTGAAAATTTTGACAAAAGTCTATAGTTAAGCACTTGAGGTAATCAGAAATTTTGTATCCAGGTAAACATACAAATTCTCTCTGTAATGCTGTCATTTCTATGATGAAAGTGGTATACACCAACCTAGATCAAGCTTTTTATCATTCGTATGTTAATATTGACATGAAGTGAATTAGTAAGCATACTACTTCATGGATGTAGGGCAAGATCAGTCCTAGTTCACGTTGAAATATGACTTTGAGCAGACAACCATTGACTCGGTAAGATGTACAGTATTATGTATGAACACAGTGAACCAAATACTAATGTTATATGCTGTTTTACGAAAGAATATTTAAAAAATTGTGAACCACACAGAAAAATCAATTTTTGTAGACTCAATTTCGGCATATACTATTGTGGTAAATACTAGTGATATATATACATATACATATTTATGATAACCTACACACACCGATCGTACAATTTGCGATTATGGACTGAATGGTTAGATGTGATCACGCCAAATAGATAACCTTGTATAATAATATAGTTTAGTAATTTGTTACGAGATATGCTAGATATATCAAAAGTTGAATGTCACTTGACGATCAATGAATATACCATTGGCTATATGTGTAATTCATTCTTTTATTTGATCAATAAATATTTACAATCAGTAATATACTGTATATTAGAAATGTCAGGATACATTAAGTAAAGCAAAGTTGTCTCCATACTAGGTCATTCAAAACTATTCATTATTGTTACTATGTCATATCAGTAGAAACAGAATTTTGGGAATAATCAACTTGACATTTAGATGTAGATTGAAGTAGCTCTTCTAGAGTTACTGCCAGTCTCATGCTCGACTAAAGGAACAGGGTTGGGTATAGGTTAGCGACCTCTAGTGATTTGTGCACAATTTGTGCATAACATACAAATTTTTCTCATTTTCGTAACTATTCAGTAGTGTTGAATATAAAAAGAAATGCAAACATGTACGTTTGTATTTATAACCAAATGATGTGCTATAAATTGCATTTGATTTCAGTGAACATTTGTCAATCAACACGAGATTCAAGAAATTATGCAACTATGAAAATGTATTACTAATAGCCAGAACTGATAACATAATTGTATATTACATATTCAAATACATTTACAAATAGCCAATGAATATTAAAAAAGCCGGAACAATTGTACCTCCTCAAAACTGGTACATAATTAACTGAGATCAAAACAATTCCCAAAAATGTGTTTTCTACATGTATCTAATTGACTTACTTCAAAAACAGCTTTATGCATCACATCTGATATACACATCCTATCTGAGTCAGAAACATTTGAAAAATCAGCTGATAAAGGACAGAATGCATCGTTTATTCCCAATTTCCGCAGATGATCTTTCAGTTTTATTGCATAACCTTCTCTTAATCTAAATTTAGGCAAATACAAACGCATTTTTGTATTTTGAAAACTCGTGGAAAGTATTGAAGAAATTCCACCATGTTTATACATTGAATCCAGTAAATCGGGCAATCCGTCATTTGCATCTGGAAGAATGATCAATAACGTAAACCTGGGTAACAAAGTGTTTGAAAAAGAAGGAATACTAAAGTAATATCAAGGAATAATTAGACAAAAACGGATACATTCAATAATCTCAATATAAAAACATGGTGCATTCGCACTAGCACACCCAGTTTCACCTACAGTTTTCAAAGTGCATCAGATAGTTATCTTTCATAAACTGAACCAACTTTGGTTAAGCTAACATTATTTGGAGTTGTTTCCAGTGGTAGATTTATTAAGTATTTATTCACTGTATCGCAGAGTCAAATATATCTCATTATACATTTTCAGTAATAAAATACTATATATAATCCCTGCATAAAATCTGTACCATTCATTTTGGTTTAAGAATTTACATTTCAATTGGATCGCACTTAATCTTGACCTTACAGCTTAAAAAATCACTGAAATGTGTGTAAAATAGTTTGTGGTTGAAAGTCGAAACGACGTTAAAACACTTTACTAGTTGAACAGATATAAATAAAAAATGTTTTGATTAGTGTTTAGAATACCGACATACAAGTATGGCAGCATAATAACATACATTAAAATAAGTACGGCGGTGGTTACAAGTAATAAACAACAAACCCTGGACATAGGTTTCGTGCTATTTGACAGCTGTTAGCAAGGTGTACCTGTATACTTGAGGGAACTGATCACTACTCATTGGTCAATCAATTGTAAATGCATAATAATTATAAATTTAGTCTATTAGTTCGAGCCCTTCACTAAATGAAGAGACGATAAAAGCAGCACACGTTCTAGCAACTAGTAGATTACACGTTCAAACCTCAATTTTAAGTGTTGAATAAATTGATACATATTGTGGAGAACTCAAAATGCTACAATTATGAGTGATTTTCTATCAGTGTTTGTTATTTAGCTTACTACTGAAAATTATTACATTAGTTTTCTAAAAAGCACATCACAAAGCAGTAAAATACAAAACAATCCTTTAAATATTATTACTCACTTAGGGTCTTTAAATGGTATCTTCGCAGCACGTGACCTCAAGTGGGGTAAACTGACCATATCGAAATATGATTCGTTATACATCAACTTCACACTCATTTTTGATCCATTCAATTCATAAAACTCGCTAGTATGTGAGTTATCTTCAGGAAAACACATATTCCATAAACCTAAATAACAACACCGGTTAGGATTTTTCAACTGATATCAGGTAGACAAATATAAAGTGGATGCAGTTAAAATGAAATTTATAATTATTCACAGTTAGATTCATGTATCCTTTTACCTTTGAAGTATGTAGTAGCTGTCACTACAGCAGACGTGTCCTTTGTTAAAGAACCGGGTGAAAGCAGTTCTTGAATTTGTCCTTTAGTTTGTTTACTAACCCACTGGTTTATCCGGTTTCGAGAACCTTCTATGTCAGTCTCAAATGCCACCTTTGCGCAAAAAATAGTAACAAATAGCAAGAACTTACACGTTCTGTTGGAGCATCGTAGTATGTCTTCAGATTAGTTTTGAACTGTTCTTTGATTCTCACATTTTGTGCAACGAACAATCTATTAGCAAGGATTATATTAACACCTTCACTAGGTTTCGAACAATCATTTAGAAGTTGAGCAATCTCATGATGAACTTGATCATGTTCTAAACAGTCAGACAATTGCATTGCCTTTATCATCTCGGCTTTCGTATTGTTTCCACTGCCTGAAAGAACCATTCCGAGGGCAGTATAGATATTGAACGGCGAGAGAAAAACATTTTTCCATTGACCTAAACACATTCGTAGGAGCATTGTAGCAGAACGAACTCACCATGAGTTTCATTTAATATTTGTTCGTAAAACTTGTCAGTGAAGTTCGTAAGTGACTTTAATGCCTCCATCTTGTAGGAAGTAGAAGTACATCAGAACAATGACTACAATTAAATATTCGCAGTGCAAAACGTCAAAGAAACAGAGCAACAATCTAATATTAAGAACTTCAACCTGAGAGTGCGGTTGGTTAAAATTCCACTAATGCAGCTATCCTCTTACGAGGCTTACAAGTCAGTCAGTACAATATTTAATTTCATATGGTGACATGGACGATCTTTAGTCAACCGACTATCATTAGAAAAAAACACTGTGAAGAAAGTTGTGTAACATATTGGTAATAATGATTCGCACCACTTTCGAATCAATGGAATGCCTATATACAAAATTACAAATTATAACAGCCCAGATGACCTTAATAAAAAAAGCCAACTGTGAAACAAACTCAAGTTTTCCATCTACGTTAGTTACAATGTAAACCTATTCCTGACCCAATTAAAGGCACATTTTACTCATGATAACCGATTTATATCATAGTAAACCTTTAGAAATAAAGCCAGATTATATGCTAAAAATGAAACGAATACGTTGGAATGAGTTCAAGAGATAGATATTGAGAAAGTAAAATCGCATTGCCACCTTACCAATAGGAAAAATATATCCTAATCATCCACGTTTTATTGAAGTTTCGGTGGTGACCGTATATCAATTTACCGTATACTGAAAGACCATGACATTACCATGTTTCGTTAAACGGCGGCCATCTACTTTAGGCTTAACGTTTAAAATGTGGCTGTTGTCTACCTTTGGCCCAAATATATGACGAATAGTTTACTGTTCACCTAAATTGACACCGAACGGCAAACGACTATACCAGTGATCTGCGTTGCGTCAATAGCAGTCAACACTGAAGTTAATTGTAATGAAATTCCGCCAACTTTGATTGAACACAGTAGCTGCAGCAATGAAAGACTTCTGTGTGATGATGGTATATGTAACAAGTTCAGTCAATTTCCCCAAAAATCTGATATTTTTAACATTAACTGCAGTTTTCGTGTGGCTTTTTATAGAAATAAAGGCGAACATGGGAGACATTTGTGGACTGGCAAAATGTATGTTGAAAATTTGAGCGAAGGTAGATAATCCGGAGCATTTAGGCGAAAAGTGGACAGTTCAGCAACATTTAAAACACAAAGTAACGTAAATGGTAAGATCCACATTACTTCTCACTGACAGACGACAAACAGATATTAGGTCACCTTTCCCCATTATTTCCACTCTAAAGAGTGCATGGAAAATGGTCTAAAGACCATGTGGTTCCATTTGTCGAATATTTAACTATTATAAAATTTCAGAAAAGAAAGGATCCAGACTAGGAAAACAACGGCTCGAAGTACTAACATGAACATAGAAAATAGGTGAAGAACTAAAATATTCAGTCTTCGACAAGTTTACACTTAGTCTGAAAGTAGATTGTTTGCTAGTGTAATGTGAGGAGAAGAGAATCGACAGCAATCAAAAATTACACAAACGTGAGGACAGGACAATCTAACAATCGAGACAACAAGTTGACATCCTAACGTTCCGAACGAGTTACGTCACTTTTCAAATATTGTTAATAGCCAGTACCATCCAATGCCCAATATTTCGACCCTCAAAAATTAATAGCTGAAATGAATTGGTGTGCAGTCTTATGATACTGACGGCTATCGTTAGTGATTTCTTTAAATACAAGTTCAGCTCACGTAAAGATTAACCCATGAAATCTTTTTGGTTTGTTCCTCTAATCTGATTCAACAACTAGATAGCTTATATTCCTTTGTTTAAATATATCTTCCTCTCACAACATCTAATAATTCTAGTTTCGTCAGGCCTAGGACTCTCTTACGAGATACTTCACACAGAAGTGTTGTCAATCACTGATCATCTATATTGTATTTTTAACAACCAAACGTTAGCAACATGGTTTGATTGCATCTACGGTTCAGAGTTACTGTTTGCAGAAAGTGAATGTACCTTATCCGTTGGATGGAATTTTTCCCAGTAAACTGGCGTATTTTTAGTCCAACTGAACCTTTCAAAAGGTTCAAATGGTTGTGTACGGAATAGAGGAAGCTTTCGCTTAACAGGCTCCCGTGTCTAGTAGTAGGAGTTCAATACCTCCAGGCAAGAACCTAGGTATACTTACTACTTACTACTACTACTTACGCCTGTTACTCCTCGTGAAGAAGCATAGGCCGCTCAGCAGCATTCTACATCCAACCCTGTCCTGGGCAATCCTTTCTAGCTCCTTCCAGCTGTAATTCATCGTTTTCATATCTGCTTCTATTATCCGACGTAATGTGTTCTTTGACCTTCCTCTTTCCCGCTTCCCTTCAGGATTCCAAGTTAGAGCTTGCCTCGTGATGCAGTTTGACGATTTGCGTAATGTATGTCCTATCCATTCCCATTGTCTTTTCCTAATTTCTTCTTCAGCTGGAAGTTGGTTTGTTCTCTCCCACAGAAGGCTGTTACTGATGGTATCCGGCCAATGGATGTTGAGTATCTTGCATAGAGAACTATTCATAAAAAATTATACCTTCTTGGTGATGGTTGTGGTAGTTCTCCAAGTTTCAGCTCCATACAGTAGAACTGTCTTGACGTTTGTATTGAAGATTCTGTCTCTGATATTGGTTGAAAGTTGTTTTGAGTTCCATATGTTCTTCAATTGTAGGAATGCGACTCTTGCCTTGCTAATCGTTGCCTTTACGTCTGCATCTGAGCATCCTTGTTCATCGATGATGCTTCCCAGGTATGTGAAAGATTCTCCACCTTCCAAAGTTTCGCCATCAAGTGTGGTTGGATTACTGTTCTGCTTTGAATTTGAGGACCTTGGTTTTTTCTTTATGTATACTGAGGCCTACTGATGCAGAGACTGCTGCTACACTAGCTGTCTTCATCTGCATCTGTTCATGTGTGCGCGATAGGATGGCTAGGTCATCTGAGAAGTTCAAATCGTCTAGTTGATTCTGAGCTGTCCATTGTATTCCGTGTTTTCCTTCAGATGCTGAGGTCTTCATAATCCAGTTGACCACCAGAAGAAAGAGAAAGGGGGAGAGTAAACTGCCTTGTCTGACTCCAGTCCTTACTTGGAATGCATCTGTCAGCTGTCCTCCATGCACGACCTTGCACTGTAGTCCGTCGTATGAGTTCCGGATAACATTGACAATCTTCTCAGGAACTCCGTAGTGTCGAAGAAGTTTCCATAACGTCCTCCTATCTACACTGTCGAATGCCTTTTCATAATCAATGAAGTTGATGTGTAGTGATGAGTTCCACTCAACTGATTGTTCGACGATGATCCGTAGTGTTGCAATTTGGTCTGTGCACGACCGATCCTTACGTAATCCAGCTTGTTGATCTCGAAGTTGGGCGTCTACTGCATCTTTTATTCGGTTCAGCAACACTGTGTTGAAAACTTTCACTGGTATTGACAGTAGTGTAATGCCTCTGTAGTTTTCACATTTGGTCAGATCTCCTTTCTTTGGAATCTTGACGAGGCGCCCTTCTTTCCAGTCCATTGGCACTTGATCCTTCTCCCAAATCTTTTTGAATAGAAGGTGAAGCATGCTTGTGGTTTCAGTGCTTCAGCTGGTATGTTGTCGGGTCCTGCTGCTTTCCCGTTCTTGATTTGTCTTACGGCCATTCTAATTTCTTCCGTCGTTGGTGGGTTGACATCTATAGGAAGATCTGTGTGTGCTGCTTCGATGTCCGCTGGATTCATTGGAGCTGGCCTGTAGCTCTTCTAGAGTTACTGCCGATCCCAAGCCCGGGTAAAGGAGGAGGGTTGGACATGGGATTAGCGTCCCCATCCCGTAGAAAACTAACTCGCTAAAAACGCTTACCAGAAGAACCTAGGTATATTAACGATAAAACAGGAAAAACAGATTGGTAAATCATAGCAAGATACTATCCTTAGTCCTTAAGAATAGATCAAGTTGCCTCTTAAAGTACTCCTGGGAAGTCGCATGGACTAGCTCGGACGGAAGCGTATTCTTGTACTTGACAACTCCTAAGGAGTGGAAGTTGCGTCTACAGTCCGCTCTGCTGTGTTTTATCTCCAATTTCTGCGTGTTACTCCTTAGGTTAGAATTGAGACCAAGCTTAAGTAGGTGATTAAGAGGATGTCCAGAAGTGTTAAGGATACTGTAAGCCATCAGAAGATCACCTCTAAGACTCACATACTCTAATGAGTGAAGGTTAAGTGATTGGAGGCGCTCTTCATAAGATTTAAATTTCATTCCCAGAACTGATTTTGTGGCTCACCGTTGGACACGCTCCAGATTGTCCTTATCCTTTTCGAAAGAAGGAGGAAATATTATGTTTCCGTACTCTAAATGGAGACGAATAAAACTGCTGAAGATTATGTGGAAAGTACTACCGTCAAAATAGCCGAAAAGTGCGCTTCACTGTTACCAATGAAAGGTTTGCTCGTAAGGCATTTTTGTCACAGTTAGCGTAAGACTTTAAATTTTGGGGCACAAGCTATCAGAAGTGTAACCATCCACTGCAGATTCCGAGTTTCTGGTTAAGCGACCGGTCAGACCTGGCTTAAAACCCAAAAAATAGGTAGATGAATAAATGAACAGCAAAGACAATGCTCGACAAGATTTGTAAACCAACAAAGAAATTGACAGATTTTAATGTAAATGATAACAGACTGACTTTGTTGACGAAAAGAATGCACTGTAGCATGAATAAATAATAGAAACAATGGCATTACGTCAAAATTATTAATACACAAAATTAGGCAGGTTTAAGGTGGAGTACATCATTTAAATTATAACATGTGAATTAAGGATTCTTTGTCATATAAAATCAAATTATTTGTAGTGACCTACTTTTATCAAGAGAACGCGATTGATTTTATGGAAACAATCATTATGATAACCAATTTTACCAGTGATTTTTTTACTGTACTTATTTCTTTAACCGTACTTAAGACATTCTTCCATTGATTGTGACCTTGCACGAATGTGGTTACGCTCAGTAACATTACTTGTAACCTGGCACGATCTCGGTATTTTTTCGA